GAATGTGCTTCACAGACAGCTGAGCAGAGGGTCCTTAAAGAGATGAGAGGAATGCAAAGTGTGTGAAGACATCTGAACAGCTTCTGCTTAGCACAGCTGCTGCCCTGGATGGAGCTGCTCACATGCAGGGGCCCAGCCACCCTTTCTGCCTTCAGTTCAGGAAGCCAGCATGGGGATCCTACTGACTGATCAAGATCCATCCAGTCCTCCCCGGAATGCTTGGCCCCTCAACCTGGCCTGGAGTAGGGGTTGTCTCAAGGGAGGGAGATAAAGAAGGTGCAAGAGAGACTTAGCAGCCTCTCCTTGTTAGGTTGGCCCTAACCTTAGCCTTCCCTTTGCTGGGGAGGTGAGGTAACATGGTTTTGACACCAGACTTCCAAGTGCAGTGTCCCAGGACCCTGGATGGGTTTGAGAAAGGACAATTTTTATCACAGGACTGCAAACAAACACTTGATGTCCCTGTGCAATGAGCTAAGCATCATGGTCTTGAAGGAAGAGTTCTGACAGTTGTGTGTCTTCATTCACTCTGTCACATCCCTGGTGAAGCCCTCTTGCGATCTCCATCATTGAGTCACACTGTATACACACCAACCTACTTACCTACATACCTGTTTCTTCTCAATCTAAACTATCTGCTGCATGTTACAGTCAGAAGGTGCTGGGCCTCACTACAAACCAGTGTGATTTCTGCTTTTGAGTTCAATACTCCTGCAGTCGGACATGCTGAGGGCATGCAGTTAGAGGAATACTTACTTCTGAACACACTCACAAATAGACCAGACAAAAGAGCTGTGTATAAGCCAAAGGTAGAGACAGCTGTGGACCAGCAGGACACGTTGGTGTTTGAGGCACATTAGGGGACTCTGGCAGTAGCAGTTGAGGTGTGGGCAAGGTGATGGAAGAGAAGTTTGATCTTCTCTAGTAAAACAGATAGTTTTTCTGAAGTTGTTACCAGAAGAAAGAACTTTGCTTTGTGAATGACGTGGTATATGGAGTGTTACAGGGAAAAGAACTAAATGATATTTCAGAGGTGTCAGGAAATCCCATGAGCAGAGAGGTCACGTGACTACACCAAGGACACAGGAGGTGGCTGTGTTTTCAAAACCCTGGGAGAGATGAGTAGCACTATCTGGGGGTTCCAAGGATGTGGAGGCAAGAGGAGCAACAGTGTAGGGTATAACTTTGCCAGGTCCATTAGGATTAAATGGAGGTCAAGAAATGTGTCAGGAGGAAGTTGTGGCAACCCAAGAAGCAGATGGTCCTGCAATGGCCAGGGTGTAGGAGAATGTAAGGGGAGTGAGCAGAGACCATGTTGCCCATGGAGCTGGCATTTTTATTGTTTACTGTGGTAGTCCACGTGTCCCAGGGACTTGCCCCTACCTCCTCACAGCCAAAGTGGGGACCTGGGATAAGATCTCGGCCTCAGCATTCTGGGAAGGAGGGGCGGCTGTTGCCATTAACTGCCTTACAGTCAGCTCTGATGGCCCACGTATAACAAAACAGGACATTGCCTAGTCCTGCACCTTCCACGTGGTTGTGTATGTGCTCAAGTCCATTGTCATAGCCCCTGTGCATTGTGAAAGCCTTCTGACCCAGGATGCACATTTCCCACCACTGTGTCAGACAACAGCTTGCTGTTGGTCTGGAAATTCTGCTGAAATCTGCCCACTATGGGTGACCCTGCTGGTCAAGAACTACCAGTGGCATGGCTTCCAGTATCATTATTAGACTCTGACATTGTAGATGTGGGGAATTTAAAAGGATGTACCGAGGAGCAATGATGTCAGTTTTAAGACTAAGGTGTGCCTGATTTAAGCCATGGTCTTTTCAATGACTTACTATGTTTCTGAGAACTGGAATGAATAAGGATGACAGGTGAATTGATGCCTCTGAGTTACGATGCTGGAGAAGAGAACTGAATATCAAGTGGGCTGCCAAAAGAACAAACAGAAAAATCTTGGAGAAAGTGTGGCCAGAGTGCTCCTTGGAGGCAAGGATGGTAAAGCTTCATCTCACATACTTTAAGTATGTCCAGGCTATTCACTGGAAAGGGACATCATGCATGGAAAGGTGGAGTGTCAGCAGAAGAAAGGTCCTCAACAAAATAAGTTGACATAGTGACTGTGACAGTGGGCTCAAGTATGTCAGAGAAGATGAGGATGTCACAGGATAGGAAGGACAGGGCTCAGATTTGTTGTTCACTTAACTTGATGGCATCTAACAACAAGATCAGGAGGAGAAGTAGGCTGTATGGAGGGTTCTCATGTGCTTATACTTTTTAAACTTAGTCAGTCTTGAGAGCATAATAAGCACAGAACGACACCCTCACAACTAATCATGGTGCTTCCACAGGATGGCTCGAAACAGAAGTGAGGGCGGAGTTAGGAGCTCCTTGGCCGTCATACCATTTGGCTTGTGTCCAAATAGCACGCGGCCATAACCATTAACGCTTTTCAACTAAAATGGGAAGAGAGAAAAAAAAGAGGCTCCTTCATTTTTAATAACTGTATTCCCCAAACTTCAAAAATGAAATTGCCAAGTTAAGAACTTCTCTTAGAAAAAAAAAATTCTAATTTATTATAAAGAAGGTCCGGGGCTTGGGAATTTTTTAATGCAGATTCCTAATTTTCCAAAGTGAGATTCTCCTGTGCATTTGAATAGATGATGTTCGGCATTGCTAGCCCTCAGCACAATGGGAACATGATTAAAACGATCGCCAGGTCTCAGAGGAAGAGCTTTGCTTTGGCTTTCTTTATTCATTTTGGGGACTTCATGTTGGGGACTGTCCATTACTCACCTGTGGAACAAACTGGGTTTCTGAGGCCGTTTGCAGAGGATTACGCAGCTGTCCTGGCTTTGAGAAACTAAGACATAAGGGTCCAAGAGCAATGACATCAGGCCTAAAGGAATGAGGAGCCGACTGTCCCATTTAGGAATGGCCTGACATGGCTCGTCAGGGAGCAATTCCTCTTGTGCCCAAACTGTGTTCTAAGCAGAGACACTTTCTTGAAGCTACTGAGGGGTGGAGAGCTGCTGAACATTATGAGGAAATGGAAACAGAGCTCTCCTGAGAATCTGTGGGCAGTATCTTAAAAGAATAAAGGCAGGAAGGAACAGAACAAGGCTATATACTAAAACAAAGTGACCAGGAACATATGGAAGCATAATTCCTGTGAGGTAATCATTCCTAGAAGCTCTAAAGAGTGAGAAGAAAGATCCCCAAATTCAGGCCAATTGGCCTGCAAGTCCAGCACCCTGTGGAGGGAGTATCTTCCCCTGCCCTACTCCCTACCCCACAGCCCATAAAGGTCAGAAATCTTTGCTCTGATGGCCTCACCTTCTCCTCTACTCTATTGTTGCTCCTAACACCTCCTTTTTATCCTCCCTGCACCATCAGTTTCTTGGGGATCAGTTGAACTTAGAGAAAGTCAGTGGCAATTTAGTTACAACCTAGCAAATTAGCTAGGCTTACAAAGACCTCCATGACCTTGGCCTTGTCACTTCGCTATGGACAGTGAGGTTCCTTGTCTGACACTGCGTTCCTATACCTCTGGGCTTATAAGCAGATGTGTGCTTTCCTCAGAGCAAATGTTCCTTTGCTGTAAACATGAATACTTTTGAGGACTTTGGTGAGGAACTGGAGCCTCCTTTTCTCTCCCAAAAGACTGGAGGTGGCTCGGGGAGGGGAGAGCTGGGCTCTTTAGGGCTGCAGTGCTAATTAGTGGTGTGTTGACCAATACACCAGGATCCTTTATTTAACTACACTGCTTAGTATTCGCAGGCAGTACAAGACCCTGCTAATGTGTAGGTCCCTTGCTAATCCCTCCAACCCAAAATTTCTCCTAGTTTCCAAGCAGCTCAAATGGGGAGGGGTGGGAGAGATGGGAGGGAAACAGCCGCCAGCTTTGCCAATGTGGGTTCTGGGACCTCTTGGCTCTAATTTGGACCAAGGTGTGTGTGTATGAATCTTTGCACTTAGCAGGTGCTCAGCACAGAAAAGGGGAAAAAATTCCTCAAACTCATTGCCATTGAGTCTGAACTGACTCATCCCTGACTCTTAAATGAGGCCTTAAATTGCAGAGGAGATTGTCCATCTTTCTCCCATAAATTGGGGTAACAGTGTGACTCCCTATGGGCTGCCCCATCAGAGCTCCTTCAGCACAGTCTCCCCTTCTCAGCTCCTCAAAGCTGCTGAGGAGTCTGGACAACTGGATCCAATTACAAGAGGTGGAATCAAGATTTCTGACCCTAAACCAATACCCCTGGAGGTCCCCAAGCTGACTGAACCAATGAGATGAGACTACTTCTCCTGAGGAAGGACTGCTGTCCCCATCAGTGTCAGGAGGTTTGGCTCTCTCTTTTGCAGTTTTCTCTGGGCCTCCTTTGCGCTTCCTGCCTGGAGTCTGGGAACATGAGAGAAGGGTCCTAACGTAGCCTGAGCGCTTTCTCACAGGGAAACTGTGGAAACCCAACCCTCAGTGTCATCATGGAGAGCCACTGACAAGGACAAGGACACCCTGAGTAGAACGAGGAGGGACCATGTAGCACTGGACAAGCAGACGTGTAGGAACTGGGTTCAGAAGCCAGGTGATGAATAACTAGTGCTTTTGAGATTCCAGGATCAAGGGAATCAGTGGTGGGTGCATACCAGACACAGAGAAGTAACCAAAAGTGACCCAATCATCTGGTAATTGCACTGGGGGCTGGGCTCCAGGCCCTGTCTTAGTTCTCAGGTCCTGGGTGCTGGTGTCAGACTTAGCCAAGTAGGGTGAGAATCAGATGTGCTATCAGTGCAAACCTCCTTCAGTAATATGTGGAGCGACAGCCCAGTGAGCTGCTGGGGTACAGCTGAGGGGGCCTAGCCCTGCCCATCCACCCTGGAACCAAGTACGTCCCAGTCTGGGCCAGAAGTCTACCTCACAGCTAGGATTCTGAAGGCCCCCATAGTCCCTCACCTCTTCTTCCTCAGACCTGGGAGGCAGCACCCCTCAGACACTCACCTGTGGGCTGTCCTGGTAGGGTGGGGGAGGGACATTCTGCGTGGCCATCATCGTCAGAGCTGGGGCTGGGGAGGCATGTTGCATCATGGGATTGATTCACATGGAGGATCTGTGGGCAGGAGAAAGGGGGCCGCACTGTTAATGTCACCAAGCACAGGGGACCCCTGGGGACCAGCCAGCTCCATATTTTCTCAGATTGTGACCCCTGGGCTGACTGCAGACAGCAAAGGCTGGGAGCCTTTCTGGGAACAAACGAGAGCTAACGAGAGAGGCCTAGGTGGAAAAGACTAAGCTGTGCTATTTTGACTTGAAAGAAACTGTATTCAAGTCATATGTGAAATAACCTGCATGCTACAGGGATTTTTGTCAGCACCAGCTCTGCTGGGCATATGGAGGGAAGGTCAGGAGAGGGGGTGGCTCGGCTGGTGGCAGCACAGGGGCCTTAGAGGCCACTTGGACACCCTTCTTTTCTGGCTGAGATCCCTGAACCTCTTCATGCCCACATGTGTGAAGGGTGCTTCTTGCCCCACCCTTTCCCAGGCTCTCTGGGGCAGCCTCATATGGGGCTGGAAGGCCTTCAGTTCCTGCCCTCCTCACCCCAGGATCTCCAAGCACCAGCTAACACTTCTCAAGTGCACTCGCCAGAGCCCCTAGTGGTGAAAAACAGTGGTCCAAGGGTGAGCACCGGGGAGCCAGGGGACTGACCGGACTCATTACCTTCTGGGCTTTGCTAGGTGTGTCCTGTGATTGTGAATGTGGGTCTGCATGCTTTGTTAAGGAAGGCATCCCTAAGCCTGACTTAATTATGTTGTTGTGTCTTTTCCAGTCGAAATGAATTTACAGTTACTCTAGGATGAGGGAGAACTGCTCTCCAGGGCTCTCAGGCTGTAATGTTTACAGAAGCAGGTTGCAAGGCCTTTTCTCCTATGGATCTATTGGTGGATTTGAAAGGCTAACTTTTCAGTTAACAGGCAGGAATTTAACATCACATTAATTAATTAATTAATTAATTAATTAATCACCAACAGCTTTAATTAATTACTGTCACAGACATTTTGGGGTGAGAAGACACATCAGAGCTACTTGACCCACCTCCTCTATGTAGGAGAGAGAGGTCAGATGGGTGATTGTGAGGGTGCTAGTGGGGCCACGATGGAACCCAAGCCCCCAGATACCCAGCTCTGGCTCTGCTCCATGGTACCACACCCTTGCCCCTCCCTCTACCAGTTGTAATTGAGCTGCCCTCATTGGAGCTCACGGCTTCCTGGGGCAGAGCATGAGGCTGAAAGTAGAGACAGTGTGGCGGTGCCATCCAGGGAAACAGAACGCCCAGAGAGCTGCTTGCTATGATAGATGCTCTGAAATATTTACAGCTGGAAACCCCATTCTAGCTGCCTGATACAGGCCTGCCCCATCTGCGGGGCACAGGGGCTCCTAGGAAACACTGTGGAGTGTCCTACTGTCTTCTTGCCCTTCTACCTCGGAAGAGAGGAAGCCATTGAACATAGCTCTCAGATCCTCCCTCCCATCTCCTTGCAGCCACTCCGCGCCCCCCTCCCCCACCTCCTGCTGTTCTCCCTAGACACAAGAGTTTTCCCACTGTGTCCACACAGCTCATGCAGCAGGAATCTGAGCGTGTTTTGGCACTGTCATCAGGCAAAGGGAATGGGTCTCAAAGGCCCTAGGTGGCTGTGGGAGTGTGGGGTGGGGGTGGGGGGCTGTATGTTCAGGTTGTTCTGTTGGTCCTTTTATAGGAATAACAAAGAAGGCCAGATCTGTGGCATCAAGGGTACTTTGGCCTTAAGTGCACATGGAAACCTGGAAATCCATGTATCCTCCATTCAACAGAGCACTCTGTGTACAGAATGGTGCTAGTGGACATGGGAGGCTAGATGTGGTGAGGCGAGGTCTTTCTTTTTATTAGAGGCAGGTAAGAGTGAGGCAGGAAAGGAGAAATAAGCTTCCAGGAGAAGCTGTGCAAGGAGTGATGATTTTCCCCATGCTAAAAGCTCGGTAAAGGCAAAATAACTTTCAATGGCCTTGCTGCAACCTCCACCCCACCCCACCTGGGTCTCGTTCTGAAGACGGCATCATTGTAACAGGCACACAGGGCACTCTAAGCTCCCACAGACTGAGCACTGGGGATCCACTGTTTACTTTGCAAAGGGCCCAGAAGGGAGCTGTAGAGAGAAGCCTATCTTTTTATGGGCAGGGGAATAAATGCTTATTTTTTCATGCCTGTGTCTTTGCCTAAGGATCTCTGGTGGTACAGTGGGCTATGTGTTGGGCTATTAACTAAATGGTCAGCGATTGGAATCCGCCAGCCACTCTGTGGGCAAAAGCCGAGGTAGCATCTTTACATTAAGATGTGTAGCTTCGGAAACCAGTTGAGGGTGGGGGCAGGCAGGGGCTGGAATGGACTTGAGGTTGGGTGTTTTGGGGTTTTTGTTTGGGTTGTGTGGTGTGTGTGTGTGTGTGTGTGTGTGTCTTTGACAGGATTATAGTAAACACCAAGAAAGGCAAGGGTGGAGTGGATTGAAGGAGAAGAAACAGATGCCCTGAGATAACAGAAAGAACCTCCCAGGATTAAGACTTCTGAGAAAGTGAAGTGGGTGTGGAATCTCTCTTTGGGGTCTGAGGAGTAAAAGAAATGGGGTGACATCAGGAGTGTCAGGCTGTCTGCATGGGACCCAGGATTCTGAAGCCAGTGTGCGTCTCAGCCCTGGAGAGGTCCAGCCTGGACTTCTCAGCCAGGAAAGGTGTAATGCCAGTTGTCTCCAAAAGAGGGGGCTTGGGGACAGAGTCTGGGTGGTGGCTCAGCCTAAAGAGGTTTTGCTTCCCTCCTGGGGTAGCAAGCTCCCTTTTCAGAAAACCTTGGGTGTGGGTCTTCGGTGACCTCTTTGCATGGCTGAAAAAAATCACACTGCAGGCAAAGCAAAGGAAGTACAACGAAGAGAATCTGGGCGAAGGGAAGGAGCCCTTCTCTGCATTCCTTGTCCACTGCTCACTGAGCAGCAGGGCCACTCTGGAGGTGCTAACTCTACAAGTACTGGCAACAGCACCAGGCTGCCTGGTCTGGGGGTGCACAGAGAAAGTTAAGAGGGGTCTGCATCCGAGATGACCACAGGCAAAGTGGACGGGGAGAGCTTTAGTCCTGGGGCGCTCTGAACACAGACCTAACGCAGGCAGGTCAGGACAGTCTCCTCAGAGGACAAAGAAGCACATTTCTAAGGACTCAGATGGTCCTTCATCCTGTCCCTCCCCCTCCTCAGGTCACCAGAGGCCATGAGGCCACAGCCCATTGCCCTCTGGGGGCTCTGGCAGGAGAACAGGAGGCCTTTCATCAGGGGCTTAAGTTCCCTCCTCTGTTCACCCAGGCAAGGAAGCCTCTGGCAACCTGACACTCAGAGGGGCTCAGCTGCCTGAAGACCTTGTGTCCATCAGAGAGCCGCCTCCATTCTTCACGCCCTCCACACAACACCCACCCTCCTCCCCAACCTCTGGCTCTCTCCATATCCCTGGGAAATGCCACCGGCCAGCCTTGTCCTCAGAGGCCCCAGGCAACCATCCTGGAGGAATTCAGAACTGGACTCATCCTGGGATGGTGATGGTGGCTGAAGTGTGGGGACCAGCTCTCTGTGGGAAATGAAAGCCTGTCCTTTTTGCATTTTCTTTAGGAGCAGGGACCTCCAGGAGGCTCTGTCTGCCTCTGAAGGGGCTGCCTCATCCTGTCCTGATGCCCTGTGCCCCTGTGCCATGTTCCCAGACACAGTCAGGATGGCAAACGGAACCCACGAGCAACGATGAGCCAGAGAGTTCTCCGTGAGGAAAGGCTTGCGTGCAAAAGTTTTTATATGGATATGACAGCTAGGAGAATGTGAAAAAAGAAAACCCAGCCCAGTTCAACCCTCAAACCCACAATAATGTCCAAAAAAGAAACCATTTGCGTCACTGCTATCATCAAAGCTAAAAGTGTCTGAGCAGAGCGCAGGACCTGGTTGAGGCGTGGGCACACGCGCCCACCTCTATGGGAATTAGGAATGGCAGCTCAGCAACATCCGTCTCCCTCATTTCCTTGAATCCAGCTCCTCCCTGGCCCTGTATTCTGAGGTCTTTGGGCTTTGGCCTGAACACCAGTGTGTTGACAAACAGGCTTAGAAAAAAATGCCAAGCTCGTTAAGAAGGAGCTCATTAGGACTTGTTGACATGAAACCCATTAGACCAATTAACATTCCATTAACGGTGTGGGGCACCAAGGGGTTAATGCTGCCCCGCAGTAATTGGGCTGGGGTGCCAGGGCTGGGGGCTTGGGGCCTGAAGGATAAGAAACAAAGTCTAATTGGGACCTCTCTGGCCAGCTGGCCGACAGCAGTGCTTTCGGGCCCTGCACTGGCTGGCTGTAGCTACGCTATTCAGTGGAGAGAGAAGGGAGGAGATGCTGACTTTCCTTTGGTCTCTCATTGTCTGGCCCCATCAGAAGGGAACCCCATCAGAAGGTGACCCATCAGCATGGGACATAGCGGGAGGAGACAGCTTCTCCTCTCTTGAGCTTCTGGGTCTCCTTTCTGCCTCTTAAATGTGCACACACATTCCCTTCTGATCCAGTTTCCCTCTGAACAAACTCCCCTCTTCTCTCCAGGCCCCTGGGTGGTGTAAATGGCTGGTACTTCGAAAGGCTAGCAGTGGAATCCACTCAGTGGTGCTGCTGAGGAAAGACCTGGCCATCTGCTTCCAGACGTACTCAGAAAAGTTCCTCCAACATGCGGGATACATGAGTCCCTGTGAAGTCCTGAGCAACCCAGAGGCTATGGGCTTGTTAGTTTACTCATTCTGAGGAACTCTGGAGAACCTTGGAGAGAGTTATTCTGCTAAAATCAAAGGCAGGGCCTCACTGACAGCTCCTTCAGAGAAAGATGGACAATCTTCTCACTACAAGGCACAATTCACAGCCTTGGAGACCCAAGTGAGGTCAGCTATGAGTTGGTTTCCACTTGACAGCAATGATAAGAACCCTGAAAGCCCCAGAGCCCAATTCGTCCCAAGTGCTCTGCTTGGAGTGGGGTTTGCAGGGCACTGGTTCCAGGATGGCTAAGAGGCACTGTCGAGGG